CAGATAAAATCTTTTTTTTTTTGCCCGTGTGCACAAGCTGGGACTCAGCATTGCGTGCTCGCAGGTTCTCATGTGTAGGATCGTGGAAGACACGTACGCGAACTACGCACTTTCTGCTTCGAAGCTGTCCCTGCACCATTTAAGGATACAAGTACATGTTTTTTCTTGAAGTCAATAGTACATGCGTGCACGTTGCAATGTGTTTTGTACATACGATTCTTTTGTACTCTTTGAATACTTTGTGGCTGCACAAAATTCTTGTTGGCAAAACAAACATGTCGGGTTTTATACTTATCTCTGGTGTTTGACTTTACCTATTGAACTTAAATGCACAGTAAATTAAAACAATAAACACAATTTAATCTAGTGCTGCCGGTGAACCACCGAACCGAGGCAAAAATCATCAAACAAAGCACTTTTGAACCGAACCAAACTGTTCGGTTCGGATGTACGGCTTTAATAAGGCATTTTATTGATGGCATGCGGGAAAACATACAAAAATACAAGAAAACTTAACAAAAACAAACACAACGAAAAATGGATAATGAGTTATACGGCGTGCTCCACACGTGCGTGAACATACTGAAACTTACAATGGCCCGCATCATGAGATGGTTGTAAAAAGCATGTGGTGAGAATCACTCAGAAATCAACCAAGAACACGCAGCGTACGGCATTGTCGCTGCATAACATTTCTAAATTCTCACTACATCCAATCGTGCTCATGTATATTCAGATTTATTATTTTATTTGCCAATCTACGATAGCCACGCCCTTACGTTCCTTACGAATTTTGGTTGGATGCCGATCACAGTCGGACTCGCGCTCGATCCAAGGCATCCCCGGATGAAAATTTTGCCAAGCGGTTCGGTGCATGCTGTGCTTCAGCGCAGCGCGAGGAGATTTTTGTTCGCGCGGTGGCCTAACTTGCCTTTCAGTTGACCATGAAGGGTTTGATCGTAGTGCAGATGCGTTGTAATGGAATTTGCCAGATCTCAAATAACAAAATGCTGTTATTATTCCTTCGAAAGAGGCTAATGAAAAATCGCCCCTTTGGTCACGTGCACGCCGTCCTTGGAAAGGTTCCCCCTCAGATATGCAACGAAAGCCATTTTCCTAGTTTTCAAAACTATTCCTAGTTTTCAAAACTATTTCGCAAAAATAACCAAAACACAATTTGCTCGAAATTTGATTTTAATCTTGTATTCTGTTCTGGAGGAAAGTTCCAATTGAGCATGCTGTTTTTTTCTATTTGCACAAGTCTTACGGTCGTTTTGTTGAGTCGAGTCAAGCGTGGTCCGAACACAACCGCTTCTGGTCGGTAAAACACGGTCGGAAACTGTCACACCCTCGAGGATAACTTTATATGGAATGTACTCGTAAACAAGCTCTTGGGAAAAAGTTTATAAAAAAAGGTATTCAAATCAAAGTGCTCGCGGATCGGGAGAGATAGCAGATTCATAATTTTACACGTAGAAATACTTTATAGGCCTTTGCAGCTCGATCGTAGCGAGCCTTTCATGTCTCAGTGTGCATTGTACGTGTACATGTTGTGTACATGTCCGAACCCCAACCGATCCGAAGTTCAGCAAAAAATGTCCAAGCCCTGTTTGAACCGAACACATACTTGCAGAACTATTTGATGCGGAGTTTGACATTTTTTTTATTACCTTCAAAGAATATGGTACACGGGACAGAAGTTCCAAATAAATTCACATTGCGTCTATGTGAATATTTCCTTTCATAGACGATAGATTAGGCGGTAAAATGAGGCAACCGTGTTTGGCATTCCCCGGCACTCCCATATAAACGCATTTATTTTCCAGTCCAAAAAAACGCTTAAACACGAACAATTATCTTGGGGCGATGCTTTTTGTCATGAAATACCCACTCAAAACGTATCTGAAGCTAGATAAATGTCTGTAGCCTGGAATGCAGTTGATTTTGTGTCTTTCTATCACAAGGTGTTAACCACTAATCCTCACGGCCTGCCCGGGAAGGCTGACCTGGGCCAATGAAGTTCTCCCTGAATAGGATCTTTTGTTCACAACCAAGGCTGTGTAAGCCACAAACTCCATTGTTGTCAGGGTTGCTCGTGAAGCTAGACAGTCCAGGGCAGACGGTTCTTTCCAAACCGTTGAACTGTCCAACACCAAAAGACGAACGGAATGAAGGGGGATTAACACTAACCGTTCAACTGTTTCTAAACCGTCTGTATTTTGACCTCACGCCTAAATGTCCATTAAATGAAATGATGAATTTTTGAAGAATTTTGAAAAATGAAAATCATGAAAATCTTTTGTGTGTGCGCTGCATTTTTAAACGCACCTGACAGCAAGTGGTTAAGAGATCTGTGTCCTCAAAGAGTGAGGTTTTGATGATGTCATCAGGTGATTTATTATTGAATGTCAAATGTTTATTTCAAGCCATTGATTTTGTAGACAGTTTTTCAAGAGGCCTTTTTAGTAACTTAGCAGTCTTGCATCTTCATCAAAATTACACCAAGGAAAAACTTTTATGCAGAGATAGTCATAGAAAAACGATGTCATGATAGCACAAGGTGTTATTATACAAGCAATTAACAGTTTGGTATTTTTATCTTTTAAAGGAACCAGGAAATAGAAATATTTTTATACATTTTACTGAAAACCCTTAAAATGGCATCTTTGGGTTTCAATTAAATTAACCTGTTTTTAAATTTTTGTTTTGCAATCTTAACCCATATTTTGTGCTTTGTTGGTTTTTATTCTGATATATATTTGCATATTCATGAGCAGAACTATGATGTCACCCAGTGCACTGAATCTCATTGTTGCACTGGTTTGTGCACAGAAAATTTCTAGATTTTTTTAACCTCTGCTATGGCAGATTTCATTTTCTTTTGGCAATTTATTGCTGTGTAAGTACTGTTACATGGCAATAATCCAGTAAAACTCCTTTTCACAGAAATGTTCCCAGATAGCAAATTTAGGATTCGCAATTTAAACATGAAAACATGCAACCTGAACCATGTCTTCCTGGATTTACATCAAAGCGAAAGCGCCCTCACTTGTCCAGAATGCTTGGTCAACTTTTAATGTATGAAAAAGTGCACTGTTTAATTCACATAATAAAAAAAAAAAGTCAAACAGTCTTCATACATGGAAAAGAGTGTAGAGATACACAAAAAGTGATTCTAAGAAAAATTCAGTTCCTGGATCCTTTAAGATTCATATAAAAGCACTTGTTTGATCCCTTGGCTTGCTTTATGCGGCAATTAACAGAGTAAATTTAGATGTTAATTTTTTGTTGTGTGCAAAATCACGTGTCTCCTGTGTTCACATACCCATGCCCAGCCTACATATGCAAATTTCCCATGTGCCTATTACAATTTGCTGAAAAGACTTGATTATACATGCTGCCCCTTGACCCTCCAAAATGCGCTGTGGTCCCACCGCCA